TCTTTGTTGAATGACAGGTTTCTATTACAGTTTGAATTTCTTCTTCATTTTTAGAAGTGCCTCATTATTGAAGACTGTGCTGCACTATATTGGAATAGCTCACAGAATCCCTGCTGATTCAGTATTTTATTAGGAAAACCTTTAGTTACGAGTGAAGTTGCACTGCATGGAAATCAATACAATGAAGAGCAGACCTCTGCTTTCAAAGTGGCTTTGTTCAATGTCTTAATAAATTAATATTTCGAATAATGAATTACATGGAGATTAGAAGTTGAGCAAGAGAATGCATGTCAGCCATGGCAAACTCCATCGTTTATAGGCATGACACAACCATGACCTGGCAGAGTTCTGTAGGTAAGATATCCCACTGACTTCAGGCTGGCTGCCTTCCTAAACTGGGGATTACTACTGTAAATACTGTTACTCTCCTGCACACTTAGATCTCATTTGAAGAGCTACTACTAACCTTGATGCACTGCCAACATAACTGATTGGGGGAGGTCACAGAAACCTGCTAGGTTTGCAGTGCCCTTTGCAGAAAGGTTCTAGAAGAAAACTATAGCGATAACTGTTAGATTTCACATCACTCTTCTAAGGAAAATACTCTTTTCCCTTTATCCAAAAAACCCATGCTCTAATGCCATTAGCCAAAATCATATTCAAACAGAAGCAGTTCTCAAACACACTTAAGACACGAAAATCCTACTGTGCCTTTGGTGCCGCAACAACAGGGACATAAAATGTATTATATGGAGTGGTTAGAAATCTAACACCATCCTCTACATTCCCCTTTCTCTCCATAACTTGAAGTGCTCCAAATGAGGCAGCATCGTTATGAAGCCAACTGGAGTAACCTGTCTTGGGAATATGGTTGGAATGCAACTCCCAGATTAAACAGGTTTACCCCACACTGAAGCTTTCATGAAAAGTCTGTCTTCAGTGCTGGGAATTTCAGTGGTAAAATTTTATTTAAAATAAGATCATTTGGTTACCAACTGTTTTTAAGTAAACTGTTCATAACTGAAGCTACTCAATCTGTGAAACTTCACTTTAGGTTTAGTCTGCCTAAATGCTGTAAATCAGTATGCTTGATGCTATAAAGACCAGCAGCTCTGTTGGTATCGGTCCAGCAGCTAGCATGTGTTGACAACAAGGAAACAAAGGACGAGATTATGTATTAATTCTTAACTGATGAACAGGCTCAGACATTCTTCTGAGCTGAAACAGAAAACCTTTGTAGCTAAGCAGGTGAGAAGTTTTTTCCATTCAACGAGCCAGGCAGTTTCAGAAATGGAGCTCAAAGCCCCAACTTACGCTGTGTGCCCCTTGGATTGTGCGGACTAAGTTCAGCCCCTTCCACACGTAGATGTCCCCGTTCAAAGCTCCAGAGTAGGTGACATCTTCTTTCGCACATGCTAAGCAAAGGATAGTCTGGAGATCTCCTGTTTTACCAAATATTCCTCTCTTTGCTGTCAGTGCGTTTCCACACAATGTCCAAAACTGTGAAATATAAACCAAAATAAATTTCCACCGAATTTGGTTGCTTGGTTTTTTTTCATACTAGTGTGCAGATCTCACAGATGTAGATCCTTACAGAGCAGTCTTTGGACAGACACTTAAATGACTCCTGCAGTCCTTTCAGAATGCCCCTTACTCCAAAATCTGCCCAGTTACCACGGAAACCCCCCAGAAAGGCAGTGAGTCTAAGAACAAAACAATATGATCAAGCTGTCTGAGGAAGCAAGGCAGGATTCTGATTCCCCCATCTCATTATCTCACTGCCTTTCATTGTGTTTTCTGGGTGGTATCTGTCAATGCAAATAAACACTTTTTAAAGTCAGGAACATCCCATTTTTCTTGCCTGCAAAATTTAAAATACAGCTACAGTTCTGAAGTAATAAAATACTTGACCTTGAAGAATTTACGTGCCTGGAGTAGGCATTTCTGCCCTTTTCCAGTGCTCTGACAGAGACACATCCCTCAAATATAGTTACATTTATTGAGAAGCCATCTGTTGGATGGAGACTGCAAACAATTGTACATGAAACAGCTCTGACTGTGACAGCAGCAAGGTCTCTAAGTGTGTCATGGTGGCTTTCCTGATTTCTACACAGACGCAGTAACATTCTGAAAAAACAACTCTGTAAGACTGACTGGGGAAAGGAGTCAAGAGAGTATAAAGTTTGTCTCAGAAAAGTGCCCTTAGTGGCATGCTAGAAATATCATGTTCTTGAATCAGTTGAGAGTGCTCTTTTTTTTTTCCATAAACATAATTTTATCAAGCAGGGAGAATAGCTAGTGCACTCATCTCCTCCTTGAGGATCAGACCCTCCAGTAAGACAGAACAAAGAGAATTACAATTAGACATGTAAGAAAAGTGCTCAAATAACCAGGCCTGCCAGCACTAGGGTGTTCTGGACATATGCAGAAACAGAACAGTAAATTATTTTTTAAAAATTTAGTAAGTACTAAAAAAAAGTAGCACAGTCCTGAATGGACTTGCCAGCCTGGGCCTTTACTAGTTGAGGCCTTTATGCTCTGTGGTCCATTGCACACTGGAGAGAGCTCTTCAGAGACTGGACAGGAATACTGAAGTGTCTGACATCCATAATGTCTATCTCATTTCTACATTATATGCCTACACCTTTTGGGGGCTATAAGCTGAATTTTTAGGCCATTCTCTCTGTACTTACTCCTATAAAATTCCTATAAAGCTGAAGTGCAGAAAAATCCTTGGATCATGGATTTTTATTTCAGGTCTTTCTCAATTTGTAATGCTAATCAATTTTCCCTTTGTGCCTTAACATAAGCCAATTCATAAGAAGGCAGTAGGAACACTTTCCCCAGGGGTTTCATTCTGTGAATGAAACATTCACTCTCCTCACTCCTGGTTAGCAGCAGAAGGGCAAGAGAGCAGGCAGCAGTGTGAGGAAATGGGTGGAGGGAGGTTCCCGAGCTCAGTGTGAGGTTCCTTAGCTACCTGGCTTTGCAACAGCTTCGAGTATCTGCCCAGCCAAATGAGCTGACAGAACTGAAATGCTAACAGAATAAATGGCACTATTCCCAAGTATTAGTCCCAGTTCTCACAGTAATACAATTATTTTAGAGCTGTTCTTTTCCCTCACCACAAGTTCAAGTAATTGTCACATTCCCACAGTGAATGGCAAGTATACAGACTGCTGTTGGAGCATCACCAGAGGGGAGCACCTAATCATTTCCTCACCACACACTTGGTTTTCTTTCCCTGGCATGCCCCCATCTATATGTATTTGCTTTGCCTGGTATTATGCATGTTCAGGGTAATTATGGCTATTTAAAACAGAATACAGGTGCCAAACAAAGACAGGTTTTGGAAAACAGCTTGCAGAATACAACAGATGGTATCACTGCTGCCAAAAACACCCACAGTTTGAAAGCAGTGGTGGTTTTAAGGGCACGAGCTTCTCAGTAACCAGAACTAGAGATATTAACTGGTTTCCTAAACTTCTAGTTAAAGCTCTTCCCACCCCAGCCATGTGAAATAATTGCCATCTGTTAGGAACACTTTTCATGACACAGGAGAGAACCAGAAACCTGCAGGGAATACTGGCAACCAGAAGGATTTCTTTCTAGGCTTTTCACAGGCATGAGAATGTTTTACCCTAAACTTATAGTATAGATCTAGATTTGCCTTTAAATCACCTCCAGAAAAGGTGATTTAGATGAAACAAGTAGGGGGGCTCTAGAGTGTTCATCTTCATCTCTGCAGGCCTTACACACCTTCTCTGTGGTACTCCTGCAAATGCTGACAGCAGGATAGGACACTCAGCAGCTCATCCCACTCATACTTGTAACTTAGTTCCTCCTATACCTGTTCTATGACCCTTTGTTATGCTTGAGGGAAAAAAACAGTAACATCTGGGGCAATTTTGAGATAATTTAGGTGGAATGGAGAAGGTAGAGAACCCCAAAATTACAAGCACATAATGATGAAAACTACAGCAAATGATCTTCCCACCTTGCTTGTTAAGTGGATCTTCACCTCAGTCACTGCTGAATGTCTACACTGGTTTCAAACAAAAAGTTTTGTCAAAATGTTCACAGAGCAAAGAAAGAAAAATATAAATATATATTTAAAGACCTCATCATATAAGAGGACAAACTTCTTATGTGACATTTATTTACTTTTTGACAAGGAAACTGTAAAAGCTCTTTACCTTTATGTGTTTTACTCCACAGCTGACAATTCTGTTTGGCTGATATTGATCCCAGGAGATATCAAATATCTGTTAAGAGAGACAGTAAAAGCTGATATTTTTAATTATACAGTAATTGCATCTAGGCATGGTTTGCTTTTATTTTTAGGCAACATTTCTGTTACAACATATGACTAAAATTAAAAGAACACTGTTTAGGTAAATTTGGAACTCTTTGTAAACAAAGATTAAGACAAATATGCAGGCTTCCTCTCACAGTGCTGTCAACACACCTCATTCCTCCCTTCACACTACCAATCTATTCCAGCTCCAAGACATTACTGAATAAACAGCATTTACTGTCTTAAATAAAATGGGAGTTATGGTGTAAGCTAATGTTCCTCAAGTTTATATGAGTATCATTCACCTGATCTCATCTACAAAGTTAAAACCCAATTCTTCATTTTGATTAATGTTACATTTACATTTATAACAGTATGCATCAAAAACTGGAGCATCAGATCCTAGATAGGTTACCAGAACAAACTCACAGTGTATTCTGTGACTATGGGAATCAGCCAAATGAAAAATGCTGTATAAAGCTGGGAAACAAGAAGTTGGAGTTTTGGCCCAGTTTTTGGCCAAGATATCGCTTTTAGACTCTGCCTCTGGCATTCAGCTTTTCAATGTCCAAGCTGAAAACCACTGAGGTTACCAGAGTCATTAGTTCCTTCAGAGAATGTGTGTCTGTAGAGAAAGACAATGGGACATTTTGCTGCTTTTAGCTCTTTAGCTGTTAAGTATAAATCACAAGAGAATTCCAGTCAGCTTGCAGGAACATATCTCCACTTGTTCTATACACAAGGAAGTGCTGCCTTCCTACAAAGGATCCATCTTCTTTAGAACCACCAGGGCTTGCAGTAGTTCAAGTACTGTTTTGTGTAAATGTTGTTAGAACAGAAGAGGTCTTTCACCTTCAGAAATGCTTTATGGCTCCTGCACACTGAATCACCAGTGTTTGTGGCCTGGTTAGATAATGTATTCTCTCCCCACTCCCTCTGCAGTGCAGAATCTCCTTTTTCTAGCTGTGAAAGTCTACTGGGTACTAAGACTTTAGTACTTCTTGCCTGTCCTGGAGTCTTCTGCTAATTCAGAACCTGATCTTGTACCTAGTGAGGTCAGTAGCAAAACTTCCACTGATGTAACTGGGAAGAGAATCAGTTCTGAAAGAGAAATTTGAATAAGGACTAAGATTCTGTTGCGTTGTGAGCACTCTAAGTAAAACTGAACTACCAGATTTATTCAGGTGACACATAAGAGGCAGGGAGACTGTAGGTATGCATAAGCTGTAGGGAAGGGATTAGTCTGTTGCTCTGCATACATAAATACTCCATCATGTGCAGTAAACCATTGTAATACCTCAATGTTATAACATTCTAACACGCTATAACATCATAATATGGATAAAAGTTGTCAGAATAGATCCATGATTTATTTTAATCTATGCATACTTGTGCTTATTTATGTTGGGGAAACATTTTACTTATGCTAAACCTGTTTAACCATCTACTAATCCTGATCAATATTCTGAATTCAAATCTGTTCAATTCTCATATTTATTGAGGTATGATGCTTTACCTGAAGTTCATAGATACGGAAGGAATATTTATCCTAATTATGTTTCTTCTACAGGTAACTGCCTTAAGCAAAAATAAAAGGGAGATAATTAAATTTTCCCTCAGGATAAACTCTTTTTGACACATTCAGAAAGAACATGATCATTGTCAATTAAGCTGGCATTTCACAACTCATATAAAGAGCTATAAATCATCCTAACCAGGGTGCAGTTACCAAATATTTCCTCCCTAGGCTTACTAAACAGTCAGCTCGAGAATCCATCATGCACCTCACTTACTAACACAGTGCTCTGTGCTATGCCTAGAGGAACAAGAAGAAATAAACAACTTGTTCCCTGTTTTAAAAGCAATGTAGAATGATCAAAATGATCTTTGCATTACCCTAATAGAAACAAAAATTATTTTAAAAACACTTTTGCAAGTCCCAGGCAAAACGCAGCAAACCCTTCATACAGTTACCCTGTCTGAATGGCCTGTGGCTGTTGCCAGTAGTTTTCCTCTCTTCCAGTCCCAAATACAGACTGTATTTTTGGCATCCAGTCCCACTGAAGCTAAACGCTAAGGAAAAACAAAAGTAAACCAATTAACAGAAAACATCACTTCACTGTAGTCCAGCTTATTATGTGTACAAATGGAGTTCCCCACAGGTGACTTATGTCTGCAGTGCCATGTGTCCAACCCGTAGTAGTAAAAGGAAAAGACCTGAGTAACTTGCATAATGGGAAGATGAGAGATTATTTCCATGGGAAACAATCTTGTAGCTCAGCAACACGACTTCTTAAAACCAGACATGCCTGTTGTGGTCCCTTCTCAGTGTCCTCTCTAAGACCTTCTCATCACAAGGCATCATTAACAGCCCCACAGGAGCACCAAGCACTTGGTTCTGTCCCAGGAGAGCCTGCACTTCTAGAACGTGCCAGAAACAAAACCTCCCCTGTGGGCTCAGAGACACAGGTCAGGAGATGAACCATCTGGTCCCAGTGGACACGTTTCAGAGATCAGATAGGCCACATCTTTTCCTTGAAGATTTGCTTCAAGATGACTTGCAAACTGAATCTCCTCAATTTAATTACCTTCAACTAAGTGGCCACTGTTTTTTGGCTCAGATTTTCCATAGGCAAATAATTTAAAGTCTGGAGACATCTATGATAATACAAAATGACTGAGCCAGCAAAGAAACCAAGTGTAATTGCCAGCAACTCCTCTAAAATGCTGTATTAGAAAAAAACACTAATTGCAGTGAGGCTGTTAATTACTGCAGAACTGAGAGAAGAAATCATTATTCACAATGAAACAGAAGGCTCCAGTTTTCATGCTGTAGTAAAATAACTCAGAGATAAAGTACTCCAGGCCTTCCCAGGCCACACAGAAGCACAAAAGCCTCATGTACTTCCTTCTTCAGAGAGCCACTCTCACAAGCCTCTGGCTTACACACAGGAGGTACACGTGCCCCCTTCGTGGCCTTCTTAACTGGTACAGCTCCTTTATTTTAGAGCAATGACACATCTTTTGGGATTTTGGTTTCACAGCATTTGACATTATATACATGATGCCAAACCTGCTTACAGACTTCTACCACAAGTTCCTCTGAATGTGGTCCCCTTTTGTACTGTCCTTCACTGAATGAAAACCACCTGAGGTCTTGTTAAACCAAACTGTCACAACCCACTGCAGGAACTTGCAAGACACCAGGTGGTCAGAAGACTGAAATATTACCTCAAAATCTGTTTGGAGACTCTCCATATGTGAGTCCTTGAAAAGTTAGATAAAGGTAGGTTCAAAATTTGTGGTTCTATCACAGATGTGATAGAAAAATATTGGGGTTCTTTCTCAGATGTGTACTGAATATCTGCATTTAACCTAGGAGAACATGCTTGATTATTGACTTAGGGTAATGAAGGAAATAGAAAATCAAATATAGGAAAGAACCAATATGCTTCTGCCAGTTACCAACAGAAAAATATTTTCAGAAAGGACTGTTACTGTAGCAAAAATAAGTTATATTTGCTTTTGAGCAATCTACACCCATACAGGGGTTTGGCTGTACTGATCAAAAGACAAGGTATTTTTCATGGAACCTTCACCAGTTTCAACTTTCTCACCTCTTTTATACCCCTCTGTGCACCATGGAAACCATGGTAGTGCTTAAAGTATCTTTCAGATTCAGGATGGGAACATCAGACCTGAACTGTAACTGTCAGTCAAGAAATTACCATTAGTGGAGTAGATGGACAGTGAAAGTACTAAGGAAAATGAAGAAATATTTTATATTTTCTTTTAGCACAGGTCTACTGAGGAAGGTCTCCTGCTGGTGGAATCAAAGTGCTAAATGCTGAACTTCCTTTTTTGGTTGAAACACACTTTTAGTCCTCCTTCTGGAAGAGAATTTGACAGGATTCTGTTTAGAGAATTCAAGGAACTACCAGAAGAAAGTATCTGCCAAGTAGTTTATGCACAGAATTAAACAATTCTTTTTAAATCTACACAGATTTAGAAGCTCTGGCTAAAGAAGCCTGCTGCTAGCTAATGCCAAATTCAGAAATGTATGTATTACAGCAGTGCCCTCCTCAAGCCATTGGAAAAAAAAATTTAGAAAGCACACAATAAAGGTTCATCTAGAATAACTGAGAACAGAAATTGAAGTGTATAGTATTGGTGAAATACTTCACTATAAAACAGATCAGCTTTGTAGGCAATTCTGTGGAGGGTAGATGTTAGTACTTTTCAGTGGAAACTGCACTTAATTCCTGATTCAGCAGAAGACATTTTTAATTATAAGCAAACTGACAGCTCTTTGTTAAACATTTGAACAAGGTGCAGGTTCCCTCCCACCAAATGTCATCTAGTCACACAGAAAAAGCCCAAACTAAACCATATATTTTTAGTAACAGTTTCCCAAGATATTCACCTCCCATCAGCACTTTTAAAATAGAATATTAATTACAATGTAGAAAATAGGAAATTTACTCAAAATATATTTGTATCCAAATCTAAAGTTGTATTAAAGGCAGATAAAATAAAGGAAGCATGTAAGCTAGACCCTGATTTAGGCTGCATGTTGATTTTCTCCATGTGTTATAAAAAATAACAAATCCTGTTACTCTGTTACCCAGTTTGTGGTCCACTCTGCCAGGAACACTGCAGAGCCCACTAAGCTGTCTCCATGCCGGGTCAGCTGAAGTTCAGCAG